TGGTGAGACCAACATCTGGACCCCATCTCCATCGCCAAGCCAAGGGGTTGACCCAACGTGGGTTGCCACCACAGCGGGTGTTGACCTGGTGTCTTTTGCAGGTGAACAACAACGGCGTGATTTCCTTTGATAGACGGGTCAACCAATACACCCCCGACCCCTTCCCCCTGGACGACGGGCGCCCCTTTGTCACCCCGTTCTGGGCGGACGTCAACAACGTACTGGGAGGGGATATCTTCTACCGAGAGACCACCGACCCGACACTGCTGGCACGCATCACGAAGGACATCAATGAATACTTCCCCAAGCTCCCCTACACCGCCACGTGGGCTTTCGTGGCCACTTGGGACCATGTGGCCTATTACGGCTCTACCAGCAAAAAGGTAAGGTCCACGTGTCGGCCATATGACCCACATGTTGGCCGTATGACCCACGTGTTGGCCATATGACCCATGTGTTGGCCATATGACCCATGCGTTGGCCATATGACCCACGCATTGGCCGTATGACCCATGCGTTGGCCATATGACCCACGCGTTGGCCGTATGACCCACATGTTGGCCATATGACCCATGCGTTGGTCATATGACCCACGTGTTGGCCTTCGTGACCCATTTGTTGGCCTTCATGACCCCCTCGTTGGCCTTTGCAACTTATTTGTTGGTCTCATGACCTATTCGTTGGCCGCTGATAGTGTCATCTCCCTCTTCCTATTTTGCAGGGGAACACCTTCCAAGCCGTCCTGACCACCAACACCAAGATGTCCTTCATCATCCTCAACTATTGGGATATCCAGTGGACTACGGGTGTGGCAAGCGGCGGGGACCCTGAAACGGGACTTGGAGGGACCCCGGCCCACGTACGTGGGGCTGAAGGCAAAAGTAGAGGGAAACAGGATGAAGGGAGTTGAGGAATGCGGGAGGAGGTTGACCAGGAATGGTTTTGGGGGACACCACCAGGTTCATCCAAGACTGGAAGCTGGCCTGTACCATTATGGGGGGACAACAATGGCAATGGTAGGGTGGTGGCCCTCAACAGTTTGGGGAGAAACCACCAGGTTTGCTCGTGGTAGGAGGTTGGCCCGTACCATCTCCTGGCAAGAATGATGAGGGTTGGAGGTTGGCCCATAACAGTTTTGCTGGACACCACCAGGTTCTCCAAGGGTTGGAGGTTGTCCTGTAACATTTTTGGTGGACACCACCAGGTTCTCCAAAGGTTGGACTGTAACGTTTTTGGTGGACAACACCAGGTTCTCCAAGGGCTGGAGGTTGGCCCATAAAGTTTCTGGTGGACACCACCAGGTTCTCCAAAGGTTGGAGGTTGGCCTATAACATTTTTTGGGGGACCACCACCAGTAGGAGGTTGTCCCACACCATTAATCCCTCCAAATCCTCCATTTTGTCCCCCTTTCCAGGCCGGCTTCAACAGTGGAGATGAAACCAACTTCTACAACATCCCCAGCTCCCAGACCCCAGCCATCATCAACATCACCAAGACCTCCAACGTCAACGTCCCGGGGCGTTGGGTCTTCCAGGTGGATGACTTTAAGGTGACGGGGGTCCCCACCGAGGCGCCCAAGGCCGCCGACAGCAACAACTGCTGGTTGTGAGTTGGGGGGTTTTTGGGGTGGAAACCTGGAAAAAAAGGAGAATCGAGAATTTCTTGGAGAACGTTTCCTCCTCTTGACTTCTTGGGTTCTTCCTGCAGATAAACCAAGGTGTCCGGGGTGGTGGAACCACCCCCGCTGTCCCCGTTGTCCCCCTGTCACGTGCCTAGGACGGGCACACCCAGCGGGATGCGTCAACCTCTCCCAGAGCAATAAAATCGCAGCCGAGACGTCGTGGCCTCCGGGGTCTTCATTTCCCACCCGCATCTGCGTCCTTTGAGGGGTGGGGTGTGGGGGGGGTGTTGGACCTCCAGGGGCATGAGGTCATCAATTTTTTTACCTCGTTTGCATTAATTTATGACTTATCACCCTCCGCATCCTTAAATTTCCGATTTATCGCCCTCCACGTCCACAAATTTCCGATTTATCGCCCTCCGTGTCCTTAAATTTATGATTTATCGCCCTCCGTGTCCTTAAATTTATGATTTATTGCCCCCCGTGTCCACAAATTTTAGATTTATCGCCCTCCGTGTCCTTAAATTTATGATTTATTGCCCCCCGTGTCCACAAATTTTAGATTTATCGCCCTCCGTGTCCTTAAATTTATGATTTATTGCCCCCTGTGTCCACAAATTTTAGATTTATCACCCTCTGCAGCCACAAATTTAGGATTTTTCGCCCCCGCATCCATAAATTTATAATTTATCGCCCTCCGTGTCCACAAATTTCCAATTTATCGCCCTCCATGTCCACAAATTTATGATTTAGCACCCTCCACGTCCACAAATTTCCGATTTATTGCCCTCTGTGTCCTTAAATTTATGATTTATTGCCCCCTGCATCCACAAATTTATGATTTATCACCCTCTGCATCCACAAATTTAGGATTTTTCACCCCCGCATCCATAAATTTTTGATTTATCGCCCTCCATGTCCACAAATTTTAGATTTATCGCCCTCCACATCCTTAAATTTACAATTTATCACTGTCTGCGTCCACAAATTTATGATTTATCGCCCTCCACATCCTTAAATTTATGATTTATTGCCCTCCGCGCCCTTAAATTTGCCATTTATTGCCCCCTGCGTCCACAAATTTATGATTTATCGCCCTCTGTGTCCTGAAATTTATGATTTATTGCCCTCTGCGTCCTTAAATTTACAATTTATCGTCCTCCACGTCCACAAATTCACGATTTATCACCCTCTGTGTCCTTAAATTTATAATTTATTGCCCTCCATGTTCTTAAATTTACAATTTATCACTCTCCGCGTCCACAAATTTATGATTTATTGCTCTCTGCACCCTTAAATTTATGGTTTATTACCCCCGCATCCTTAAATTTGTGATTTATTGCCCTCCACATCCTTAAATTTCAGATTTTTTGCCCTCCGGGAATGTTTCTGCTCCCGAGCGCCCCCCACCTGCAAAAAAAAAAAAATCACGTGAATTTGAAAAGAAAACCCCAAAACTTCCAAATTCAGGGGTGCTGAGCACAGCGCTGGCGGGGAAAAAAAAAATCAAAACCCCCAAAATGCCAAAAGAAATGGTTCCCAAATTCTCTGGGCTCATTTTATTTGTGGTCATTACGGATTTTTCCCCCGTTTATGGGAATTTTCCAACCGGGATGTGAGGGCTGGGTTGTGCCAGAAGGCCCCGGTCACTGATTTAAGGGAAAAATCCAAATTTGACGGGAAAAAAAGCACCCAGAAAACCACAAAGTGGGAAAATATTTTCCCTAAATCGGAATTTTTTCCTAAATTGGAATTTTTTCCCTAAACAGGAATTTTATCCCCAAATCAGAATTTTTCCCTAAATTGGAATTTTTTCCCTAAATCGGAATTTTTTCCCTAAATTGGAATTTTCCCCTAAGTTGGAATTTTTTCCTTCATGAGGAATTTTTTCCCTAAATCAGAATTTTTTCCCTAAATCGGAATTTTTTCCCTAAATTGGAATTTTCCCCTAAGTTGGAATTTTTTCCTTCATGAGGAATTTCTTCCCTAAATCACAAGTTTTTCCCTAAATTGGAATTATCCCTAAATCAGAATTTTATCCCCAAATTGGAATTTTTCCCCCAAACCAGAATTTTTCCCCTAAATTGGAATTTTTTCCTTAAATCAGAATATTTTCCCTCATGAGGAATTTTTTCCCTAAATCAGAATTTTTTCCCTAAATTGGAATTATCCCTAAATCGGAATTTTATCCCCAAATTGGAATTTTCCCCCAAAACCAGAATTTTTCCCCTAAATCGGAATTTTTTCCTTAAATCAGAATATTTTCCCTCATGAGGAATTTTTTCCCTAAATCAGAATTTTTTCCCTAAATTGGAATTATCCCTAAATCGGAATTTTATCCCCAAATTGGAATTTTCCCCCAAAACCAGAATTTTTCCCCTAAATCTATCCCCAAATTGGAATTTTCCCCCAAAACCAGAATTTTTCCCCTAAATCGGAATTTTTTCCTTAAATCAGAATATTTTCCCTCATGAGGAATTTTTTCCCTAAATCAGAATTTTTTCCCTAAATTGGAATTATCCCTAAATCGGAATTTTATCCCCAAATTGGAATTTTCCCCCAAAACCAGAATTTTTCCCCTAAATCGGAATTTTTTCCTTAAATCAGAATATTTTCCCTCATGAGGAATTTTTTCCCTAGATCAGAATTTTTTCCCTAAATCAGAATTTTTTCTCTAAATCAGATTTTTTTCCCTCATGAGGAATTTTTTCCCTAAATCAGAATATTTTCCCTCATGAGGAATTTTTTCCCTAAATCACAATTTTTTCCCTAAATTGGAATTATCCCTAAATTGGAATTTTATCCCTAAATTGGAATTTTATCCCCAAATTGGAATTTTTCCCCAAATCAGAATTTTTTCCCCTGAATCGGAATTTTTTCCCTAAATCAGAATTTTTTCGCTAAATCAGAATTTTTTCCCTCATGAGGAAATTTTTCCCTAAATCAGAGTATTATCCCTAAATTAGAATTTTTTCCCTAAATCGGAATTCTTTCCTTAAATCAGATTTTTTTCTCTAAATCAGAATTTTTTTCCTAAATCGGAATTTTTTCCCTAAGGAGAAAATGGTTTCGCACATGGACCGGAGCACAAACACCCAACACGCAGGCGACGCGCACGGGCGGCGCCCATGACACCCCCGGGGCACACACACACACCCCCCACGCCCCCCACTCAACACACAACTCGGCACAAAGACCCCACAAAAAGTTGCGCCCGCAATGCGTTGTGATGTGACGCAACACACACAACACACACACAACACACACACACACAACACACACACAACACACACAACACACACAACACACACACACAACACACACACAACACACACAACACATACAACACACACACAACGCACACAACACACACACACAACACACACAATGACACAACACACAATTCGGCACAAAGACCCCCCAAAAAGTTGCGCCCAAAATGTGCTCTGATGTGACGCAACACACACACAACACACACACAACACACACCGTGACACACAAACACCCCAAAACATGGCACCCCCATACAATCTGACGTTACACAATCACACAACACACAACTTGGCACAAACAACCCCAAAACGTGGCACCCACAACACACCGTGACACGACACCACACACACACAACACACACTGTGACACACACCATGACACCCCCCCAAACCATTGTACCCCCATACAATTTGACATCACACACACACGCACACAATCACACAACACACAACTCGGCACAAAGACCCCCCAAAAGTTGCACCCACGACACGCCGTGACACAACACAATGCACACACACACACACACAACCCCATGACACACAAACACCCCAAAATATGGCACCCACGAGACACCGTGACACAACACAACACACACACAAGGCACACACAACACACACACAATGCACAGCACACAACACACAACTTCGCACAAGCACCCCCAAAACGTTGCACCCCCATACAATCTGACATCACACAATCACACACACACACAGTCACACAACACACAACTCGTCACAAAGACCCCCCAAAAAGT